ATGTATGGATGTGGCTGTGGCTGTTGAAGTGTCGTGTGGGTGTGGATCTGCGGTGTGTGTGGATGGGTATGGGTGCGTATGTGGGTGTGGATGTGCATGTGGGTGTGGATGTGCATGTGGGTGTGGGTGTACATGTGGGTGTAGGTGTGCATGTGGGTGTAGATGTGCATATGGGTGTAGGTGTGCATGTGGGTGTGGGTGTGCATGTGGGTGTGCATGTGGGTGTGGGTGTGCATGTGGGTGTGGGTGTGTGATGTGTATGGGTGTGCCACTATTCCTGGCTCACATCCACACCCTTCCACATCCGCGCCCACACCACACCCACACTCAGACGCAAACCCACATTCACACCCATCCTGGAAAGGCTTCCTTTGATTTTTTTTTTACTATTGGTTTTTTCGCTTTAGTCTTTTTTCAAAGAAGTATAACTTTTTTCAATTAATTCTTTTTCTTTCCGTTTAAGTCGACAAGAACAAATTTATGGTGGTAAGTAATTCTTTTTATCTTTCATTTTTTCTTCTTTCGTTTTATATGAAAAATTTATTTCAAGTAAGCAAAAAAAAGTGTTTTAATGTACGTTTTTTTCTATTTCAGATATTGAAAAGTCAACGAAATAGATAACAGTGGTGGTAAGTTATTCTTCTCTTTTCTACACTTATATCATTGATTACACTTTTTCCTTTTAGTCTTCCATATCACCGTGTCGGTATCATCAACAACAGCATCAATGAGTGACTGAATTTTTTTTTCTTGTTGTTGAGATGAGGATAGGGAAGAGGGAGTTGAGAGTGGATAGTGACAATCAAATTGAGGAGGTTAGGGTGAGACTAAGAAAAGTGAGTGTTAGTGGGGGAAAAGTGAATCATGTCCATTGAGGTTAGACTCCTGTTATTTTTGCAGGCCTTCCGGATAGGCCCTAAAAACCCGGCCAGGAACTATCTTAGTGTCCTTGTCACACGATCGGGCTTTCCCAGACTCATTGACATATTCTCGAGTTAGAGAGATGTGAATGTTTTGAGCCTGTCCCATGTATGCATGAGCGTTACGCTCGCCACGGCTCCACCAGAATGGTTCCTGCTCGCGTACGTGCGAATTGAATAGACATTCCTTTCATCAAATCAACGTCATTTATTTGAGAGAAAGAAACGAACAAAATAATAGTTACATATATAACACTTTTTAGATGAATGAATATCTGATCCCTTTATTGAAGAAAACAGCAAGTATATATACACAGGAGAGAGACAATAGATAGACTGAAGAAGAAGTCGAGAAGGTTCTTCCGTCTGTTTGAATAATGAACAATAGAAAGAATCAAGACAATAGTTCTTACTCAAGGAAGACGTCAGTTAAGAAAAGTAGGTAAGACGAAAAAGAACATACATGCAATAGCTGAACAGAAAAAGAAAAGAACAAGAACATATATGTATAATAGTTGGATTGAAAAGAAGAGAAGTGAAGCGCTATGTAACAATAATCCATCTTAATGAGTTTACTCGATTGAAAACCGTTGAACACGATGATTCCAACAATCCACGACATAGAGATTGCCATAACGATCGAAGAATAAACCTACGGGATAGTTGAACTGATTTTCTCTTGCTCCTAAACCATTTCCACCTACAATGACAGTGCCCTGTTTCGCTCCTTTAGACCAACGCATCACTCGATTATTCGATGAATCTGCCACATAGATGGTACCCAATGTATCGACGAACAGTCCGTGAGGATGTGACAATCGTGTCAGAGCATTCCCTTGGCCTTCACCTCCAGCAACGACAATTCCTTCTGTGGCACCTTTATTCCATTTTATCACACGATGATTGTCGGTGTCTGACACGTAAACAGTCTGTTCTTGATCGACAAAGATGTAGCTCGGAAAGTTGAGTTGATTGAGACTAACACCTTGTCCATTACCACCAGCCACTAGAGTTCCATTCTTGTCTCCTATTTGATATCGTCTTACTTCATCTTTTTCTTCAGTTTGAGAGACGTAGAGATATTTCTGATCATCCATGACTAATCCATAACAATCGATGTTGTCGATAAGAATTTCTCCTTGAGCTGTATCATTACGACGAGACCATCGTACGACTCGTCGATTGTTGTCTCGGTCACAAATAATCAGACTATCCGTCTCTTTGTCGATCAACACATCGATTGGGCAATTCAATTGATCCAATCGATTTTCTTTGCCATTGCCACCAGCTACCACTTTTCCATCCGTATCACCCATCTTCCATTGCATGACACGACCATTCGAGCAGTCACCAATGACCATCGTTTGATCATTATCAATGAAGAGACCGTAAGGCCTGTCGAACTGATTGGTGGCATTGCCTCGTTCATTACCTCCAGCAACGGTAGTCCCATTCTGCTTCCATTGGGCATCCGCTGGAATATTGAGAATTACTACAATGAACGAAAAAGACAAGAAATCGTCGTTATCGAAGAGATCACTCTCTCTCTCTCGCGAGGGAAAGAGCTATATAGGAGATATTTATCTTCGAAGAAAATTCAGCAAAGCTTTCAAGAATGTTCTTTCCACACATAAGAATTCAGAAGTATTTTTCTAGTTCCCTATAAAGAAAAAAGGATTTCGTAACGATTCTTACGTCTACGTCGCTTTTAGTTTTTACCAAGATCTTTTTGATCCGAAAAACTACACCTGGAGATCGCTGTACGGAGATTTTTCGAGAAGAAGCACTGCTAATTTCATGTAAGCTTTTGATAGAAAAACATGAAGATCTGAGAACTTTATTCGGAATTGCGAGAATTCAGAATTTTTTTGCAGGATGATCATTTATACGAATACAAGACAAGAATTTAAGCAATAAAATAATGAACTATGTGAAACTCATAAACTGGAAAAATCCTGAGAAGATTTAGTCTGTACCTTGTGAGAAGAGTGTCGAATCGTGGAACAACAAATGTCAGACCTAATTTCTATGGTTTTTGGGTCTTAAGGCACACTCAGTGAACCCGGAAATCAAAAAATTTCGTTTACACGGTTATTTTCAAAATTTTCATGCTTTTAGTTATTTCAGAAACATCAACATCATTGCATTAGTTTCATTATGTTGACATCATTCTCATTTCATGAATCTAGTTATTTCACAAAAAAAATAAACTAACTGCATTCGTTTCATTAGTTAGACACAATTTTCATTACGTGACTTTTGATTATTTCCAAAAACTAAAATCGTTGCATTAGTTTTGTTAGTTTTGTATCGTTTTCATGGCAAAATTTTCGTTATTTTGAAAAACTAGAATCGTCACATTGCTTTGATTATTTTGACATCATTTTCATTATATGATTTTGATTATTCTAGAAAACGAAAATCACTCTATTACTTTCATTACTTTTGCATAATTTTCGTAACATGTTTTCGATTATTTTGCAAAGTATAAATCAGCAAATTAATTTGATTACTTTTATATTTGAAACACTGATTTTCAATCGTATTTCAAATGATTAAAAAGTTTTTCAAAGAAAAAGGATTTTAATGAATGACTTTGGTGTGAAAAACATCATGTGTCACGATTTTTTTTTAAATTAAATAATGAAAATGATTAATTTGAATCTTATCTACAAATTTGTCTTTACATATACCACTTTCTTAACAAACGAATTTTGTTAGGACAGAGACTATGTCATGCTCTACTTTTTCTTAAGTTTAAGAAGTATTTTTAATACTATATGTACTCTACCACTTAATGTGATGGTAGAGTAAAATGAACTTTTAAAAAGTCCACTGTAGAGCACCTCGAAGAGTAGCCATTCGAGACTCGTATAAAAGTTAGTTCAAATTTTATCTTTTTCATCACGAGATTTTTGTGCACTTAAATGATTTTCATCACATGACTTTCATACAAAATTAATCATTTTCATGAATTAAAATTCTAATTTTCATCAATGAATTTTAAAAAACATCAAAAATAATGTCTGTTTCATCATCGACAATGGCATTTTTTTTCATGTCGTTTCATCATTTTTCGTGAAAAAAATTGCATTAAAATGATGTAAATTACATCATTTTTTCCCATTTTTTACTCACTGGGCAGTATGCTGATGCGATCTTATCAAGATCGTAAGAAGGTTTGTATGTATGCGAACCTAAGTAAATTTGACAGGACTTCAAGTACATCTTTAGAATCTGATGCCTTCTACATTTGAGATACTGAGTAGATCAATGCTGATCCTATCAGGTGTCTGCATAGAAAACAATTGAGATATGTCAGTTTTATGTTTTAATTTAGAACGTGTGGTTCTTAATTGAATAGGTAGAAAGAGTTCTATGGAATTATTATTAAGTTATCGGACAAACTAGCTTCAGATGATTGCATAAGATCTTATCGGATGTCACGAAAAATTGCAACATTTTGTATTTTACATACATCTCTATTTAGAGAAAAGATAAAATTTGGAATTTGTTTTTGAGAGATGCGTAAGTCAATTCTCTACAAACTTGTATTTATCTTCATTTAAAACAACATGTAAATAAACGATTGAATTATTAAAATATACTTTTTACAAACTTAAAGTAGTCGATATACTAAATTATTCTAAAGAGATAAAGATTCATGGTACCTTCAGGCACTTAAGATCGAACAAAAAACTCATAAAAATGCGTTCTCTTTTTATTTCAATATGTCCATCATGAAATTTATGGTTGCATTTGTCTCTCTGACAGCGAAATTTTATCTTGAACATATTATAAAATTTTTCTTACGACTCATTGCAGAAAAAAGTTCGCACATCATATGACTGTCTCAACTTTGATACATAATCTATTTATTCATCTCTTTCTGAGCAAAATCAGCAGATGTAGAGAGAAACATAAAGAATTCTCTCATCATCATAAATATAAAGTTGTCTTAGCATTAACAGACTAAGGAAAAACAGTTTTTTACGTAATTCTATTAATTGTATTCAGTTAGAATGGTTTAATCATTTGTGGGATGATGAAAAAAAACATAGTCATTTTCTATTGAACAGACAAGTTCAATAAAATTATGTTTATGAGATAAAATATTATATTTGACTACATTTACGATAATGATCAAGTTTCATTCGATTTCATGTAGGTATAGTCTGCGTTTGTAGAACAAACGACTGTGCTTACGCTAATGTCTAATAGAGAGCGAACGAAAATTAACCATCTCAATGACAATGAAGAAATGAACATTTTCATGAATTAAATATCATAATTGTCTTTTTTATTTAGAAGTCATGAACGTGATGAAATTTTGTTAATTATTGGACTTCATATTCAACTAGATGATAATTTTCTAGTGAACTTTGTCAAAAATATGAAGTTCTGACACTATAATTTTCAAACGAAATTTTCAGATGATTGCCCACGGAAAAGTTTTTTTGAAAAACCGCTCGAAATCGCGGTTTGGATTGGATAACCGCAGTATTTCATAACACGGTATTCAATTTTTAAAACAGTGGTATAGTCATCAGTAACCACGGTGGTATATTCACAGCTAAAGTGAAATCTGAAGAAACCAATGTCCACATCCACATCCATACTCACAAGCACGCGTACACCCTACAACTAATACCTCTTCCTTCACATATCCTTGTACCAAACCCTGAACTTAAGTTAATTCACTTACAATAGTAACCAGCAAGGCTATCGTCCGTTGAGTGCCTACCATTACCCATACTTGTTTTCAGCGAACATTTTTGACTTGATGGCGAATATGTAAAAGCAATACATCCATAAGTTGCTTGACATTGTGAGCAACAGCTCGCATAATCAGGTTGTTGTACAGGAGAAGGTAATAGGTCATTTCCAGGTATGTCCCAATTGTCTTTACGTACAAAACCACCACACATATTCGCTGTAGGAAGATAAATAAAAAAATAATGTTAATAACACTCGTTGTGCAGATGAAAGATTAGCAAAAAGTGACTATATTCATTGTGTTTTTGCTCTTTCCTATCCTGTCGTCATTGTGCTGTTCGTAAATCGTGAATAATAATAAATCTTTGTGCGTGACAAGAAAGCGAGAGCTTAGAGTCTTTGTACCTAATCTCTGAGTTGCATTTCCAAATGTGTCTTCTCATTTGCTAGCATAAAGTTGAAATTCAACAACTAATAGATTCAATTTCAATTGATTTTCTAATTTGAATTACGAGAACAGGCAACAACTTTAAGACTTAAAATTTTGTTGGTCAAAATTTGAAAACATTCAGATTGAATTTAAGAGAACTTATTTTATGAGGTAGACTATCTCGAAATATTCAAATGAAAGCTTCAAATTGCTGTTTGAATTTTTGAAAAATTTTCTGATATTAATATCCATGAAACTTATCCCTGCAGTTCTACTTTTCGCTATCTGCGATTGATAGAGCGTCCTAAATATTAGGTATCATGATTACTGTTCGATGTGGTGCAATACGCAGAGTGCGCTAAGCTAATGTTTTTCTTTTTCTTCTTAATTCATTGCAAGTAACATAGTTCGCTAGACGTAATTTTTATTATAAATGTGATGAACTTTTTCCTTTAAACTTGAGCTTATCAGCGAATGTACACCGTCAACATGGAACAGAAAATAACACTGTAAAATTGACGGTCCCGAAAAATGGAATTAATTAGGATCTTAACTTCACTGTCATCTCTCTCTCTCTCTCTCTCTCGATTTGTCCACTTCGCAGTTGCAAAAAATACGCAGTATACAAACTGCAGTATTTTCTCTTACTATAAAAGAAGTTGTTATTTGAAGTCTTGATGAGCACTTATTACTCATATGGGCTCACCTTCATGAAATATTTAAGATTTCAATATTATATTAGACTGTCGTAGCAAAAATTAACAAAATCGTCAAGTGTAAATGAACGTATAATTTAAAACATACTCATCTTATTTAAACATAATTTTTTTCAATATCTACAAATCAGAAGTAGCGATTCCGAAAACTTGAAGCAAAATGATTGTACAGACCCAGTTACTCAGTAATGCAGCTATGTGCAGCTGTCATTACTGGATGCAAGAGTGCGGGCTCTGTCTCATCAAGAGCGTTTTCGCTTTCCATTTTGTTCTTTTCTTTTTTTACTCTCTCATTTGTTTTCGTTGTTTCTTGTCCGTTCAAGCTTATTCCATAAGAACAGAAAGGATAAGATGTCACGTTTCACGTCACTGAAAGTTTGTTTCAAGAAAGAGCCAGAAGCGTCTAATTTGTTTTCTTGGATGACGTTTCTGCAAGAAAGAAGAAAAAACCCTATCATGCAATATGTACAGTATCTCTTCGTTCCACTAACCTGTCAATAAAAGTGTTACGTGTTGATTATATCTAACAAGCAATAGAGCTCGATTGAAAATCTACAAAATTGACAAACTGAAAGACATTAATCTTTCACTCTCAATTGCATTGGTGAAGAATTTCCGACATTACATATGCTAAATTTTCCTCAAGAACTCTATCACAAGAAAGATGTCCAGAGTTTAAACTTCTCTCAAATATTTTTTTCAGTCATCAAGTAAACTTCGAAGAGCTAGTCTCGCTTATTAAGATTTCTTTTCGAATACACGGGACTTTCTAACAGAGAGCTGAAACACTCACGATTATATCCAGTGATAGCATCGCCAGTTGAGTTTTTACCACTGCTTATACTTATTTTCGGCGAACATTGCTGGCTTGATGGTGAATATGTAAAAGCAAAACATCCATAAATTGCTTGACATATTGAGCAACAGGTAGCATAATCCAGAACTCCATCTACATGAGATATATCATTTCCTTCTATATCCAAATTCTCATAACGTACGAAACCATCACACATATTCGCTGTAAGAACTTAAATAAAAAAATAATTTCAATAGCGTTCATTACGCAGATGTAGAATTTGAAAAGGTCACCACATTCACTGTGGTTCTAGAATACACTATGTTTTTGTTCGAATGTGCGTTTTACTCTTTCATATTCTGTCGTCACCGAGCTGCTCATGAATCCTGAATACTCGTAAACCTTCATGAGTAGTAAGAAAGCAAGAGCCTGGAGCCTGTGTGCATAATTCTTGTGTTACATTCCAAAAAGTGTCTTCTCATTTGCGAGCAGAAAATCGAAATTCAAGAACCATTAGATTAATTTTCAAATGGTTTTCTAATTTAAACCGCTAGAATAGGCAATAATTATAAGTCTCAAAATTTAGTTGTTTAATATTTGAAAAAATTTATATTGAGTGTAAGAGAACTTATTTTATGAGGTAAACTATTTCTAAATATTCAAATGAAAGCTTCAAATTGTCGATTGAATTTTTGAAAAATTTTCTGGTACCAATTTTCATAGAGATTATACCTTCAGTTCTACATTCCACTATCTTCGATTTATAAAGCTTACTAAATATTAGACTTCATGATTTCTGTTCGATGTGCTGCAATATGTAGAGCATCCTAAACTAGTGTTTTTCTTTTTCTTCCTAATTAATTGCAAGTCACAGAGTCTGTTCGATGTAATTGTTATTATGAATGTGATGAGCTTTTTTCTTTGAACTTGAACCTTCGATCGAATGTACATCATAACATGGAATTGAAAATCAAATGAACACGAATCAATCGAGGTGTGGATGTGGGTGTAGGTGTGAAGAACAGATTTATACTCATACTCGCACCCACACGTATATCCCATACACACTAAGTTAAAATGTGTCGCATGTGTCGTGATTTGTGACACTTTGTGCGACATATTTTCTCTAGCAAGACCACGACACATTTCGTACAACGCATGCGGTACATTATCTATTGATTCTTTTGGAAAAGCATATTTTGATTTTTTTTCAATTTGATTCCATTTAATTATTCCTATTCTGAAAACTCAAACCGGTCAGATCCTGAGATCCGTCCAATCTCGAGTTGGTCCGATTTGCAACAGACCGCTTCAGGGTACTCCTCTCTCGATCATCAATCGAGATAAGCATTTTCTCGATAAAAAAAATGATCGAGAAATAATTTAGAAAAAAACAATATTTTGAAAATTTATCTTTCGTACGTTTAGTCGCGTTGTTTATATATCGCTATGTGTACATAAAAAAATGATAAACGAATAGCCAGCAGGCAGAACGCGACAAATTCATATACGACACATAAACACGACGCATTTAAATTTAGTGTGCACCCTTGACGCAAGAAAAGCAAGTATATCATCTAGGAATAAACGCATACTATTTTTGCGAATTGGAATTCAGTACCATTTACTGTTTGCAGTTCAAACCTTGATGGTGTTTTGATAGAATTAGAAGTAATTGGGCTGTGCTCGGAAAATAATTGAAAACTTTATCAGATCATACAAAAAAGTGGAAAGATAATAGATTGTATAGAATTGATTCAATCAACAAGGAACGACTAGGACTTTGAGATTTAAATGTTATTTATCTTTGGTTTGTCTTCGATTTGAAAAGAAAATCAAAATGCATACCTGACGCTTTGTGAGTAGATCTTGATCCCAAAACAGCACTGAGAACAACTGCTGTAATTAATATTGTTGCCAATAAGCTGACAGGAATGAAGAATATCTTCCTGTTATACCAACGACGTCTTGGTGGTCTAATAAAATGTTACGTCAAAAATATCATTAGATGAAGATGCGTCGAGACTTACTCAGGTTTTTTTGGATAAAGGCACGCACCTATATATAGAAATATTTCAATTCCATACAAATCATTTAGATTATTTAATATGTCTTACAATGGATTTGTGTGTGTTGTCAGTTAAGGAGATTAAACATATTCGGTTCGAATTGAAGCTCTGATCGCCAAACTTACAAATTTAAAATATAGGCTGCTGTTAGTGTGCGCTGATTGAGATATTCAAGTTTTAAGATATATACAGTATATGTAGGATGATCATAATCCAAAATTTCACGAGAATTTTTTCTTCTATTTTCTTGATGATCGAATAGAGCTGATCGAATTACAATAGAAAAAATATGTTTCGTATTTTTAAAAGAGATCTTAAAAAATCTTAGGCAAAATGTTCAAGTTGCCATGATTTCCAAATATAATGGGAAATAGACCCAACATTGTTACCTTCGTGTATTTTTTAAAATCTTTTTGTAAAATATGAAACTGTTTTTTTAATATAACTCGAAGAGTTCTATCCGATTCATCAAGAAAACCGAAGAGAAAACTCCGCTGAAATTTTGGATTCTGGCCATTCGAAATGCACTGTACAAACCTGAAAACTTGAATATCTCGGTCAATGCATACTAGCAACAGTCTATATTTTAAATTTTTAAAGTTTGACGGTCAGAGATTAAATTTGACCTGAACATGTCTAATCTCCTAAATTGACAACACAAACACCTCTATCGTTAGTAGTAGAAGAATTAGATATAATACAAAATAAAGGACGCTGACTGATTAATACTACAATATGACGTCAAACAGCTTTCGTTAAGATTTATCGAATATTCACATATAACCTATAGGGTGTGCGGAAAGTTACTGAGCAAAAACATTGTATGTCTCTTCCGTATTTTTATCGAATCAGTTTATGTTGCCAAACGGTTCGCAAAGGTTTCAAGATTTTTATTCATATATCAATGAATTATTGACACATTTGAAATCTAGTACTACAAGCTTCAATGCAGAATTTAACTTTTTTTCAGATACTTACATCGGTAGTTTATCACCAAACAGTGAAAGTATCTGAAGTATTTTGTCAAGCACTTTTCGCTGATCATTTTAACAAAATTAATGCCTCTATTTTTTCGACGAATGGCGGCGCTAGATTCAAATTGCTGAAGAGCAACAAATCTCTCTAGAACTTCATAGGTTAGGAGTCATTTAACTCAGCATCTCTATTTGTCGATGAACGCAGAAGATATTTTCAATGAAATAGTCAGTGAAAAAACCTCCGCAGAATGGAATCTGTCAAAAAACTTTCGGACGCGTTTTACATTCTTATGGTTGATAGTTCACGGACGCACGCTACCAAAAGTTAACTATACTTACGCGAATTTGTCAGGATTTTTCTTTGTAAAAACATTTGAGAGAATTTAGTGGAGCCTTTGAGAAAGCAGAAAGTTTTGAATAGATAATATTACTACTCAGCAATGTTACTAATTTTTTTTCACACAGGAATAAGCAATTGGAACTTTTCTTTATCAGCAGGAACAAAAGGCTCATTTTGTCAAAATAATGTGAAGATTACAATTTTTTGGGTAGATGATTGTTTGGATTTTCTGCACGGGTTTCATTTTTCGGTATTTTTCTTTTATGGTGATTACTATTTCATCTATTCATGCCGATGGATAGGACATTAATCGTGATTCATAATAATATAACAAACGGCGCCGTGATCCTCTCCGCTATGTAGTACAGGTCAGAGGTTAATCTGATTTATCCTTTTGAAGCTATTTAGCAGTTAATCGAAAAGTCAGTCCGACACATGAATCTTATACTTCTTGAACTTACAAGAGAAACCCATACTTATTTCATGAACATAACTTATATTCATAAGTCACTTAGATGCATCGAGTTGCAAGACAGAACATATGATTAAGAGACAGACAAAAATATGTCATACGACGTATATGTGATGGACAAGGACATACTATGTCAAAGAAAAGTAGAGAATACCTTGTCAGAATGATCACAGTTTAAGATAGTATTTCTAAAAGAAAAAGCACTCACACAATTTGCATGGAATCTGAATATTTGATAATAATACAATAGAAAGCCTTTGATATGAACACATAGATGACATGTAAATCGTCTATGAGTTTGACAAATAGCTATTCGCTGTATTACAGAGTTAATAATGACTCTTTAATGAAGCCGAGAGCTCTAAAATTTCAAATCGATTAATACTATCATATCATCATTTTTACAACAGCCATGCTACAGCTTCTCATCTTTTAGCTTTCCAATATACCTTCAAATGGAGGCTCGAGTAACATATTGTCTGGTACCATCTGTTTCAAATGAATGATGT